GTTATAAAAAATAATATTTGATCATTTAAATATATATATTTTTTAAAAACATAAAATATAATGAGGTTATTTTTATAAAATAGCAAATTTAGATTAAAAATTAAAAAAAGCTACAGCGAAAGTGAAAACAAAGTTTTGGATGCTTCTCTCGTATTTAAATTTTTTATAATCAAAAGTTAAATTTTAGATTTAAAAAAAATAAAAAAAAAAAAGAAAAGAAAAGAAAGAAAGAATAACTCTCATGGCCGAAAGGTCCTTAGAAAAGTAACCCAAACTACTTAGTACGTGCTTCAACTTTAATTAATCTTACAAAAGTCATCTAAACTTTAACTAAGAAGATTTGGTTCATAGAAAATACCATTATACCAAGATGCTAAGTTGGTGCAAATTAATCTAACAAGCGCATATACGAGTTAATTTCATTCAATTTTTATTTTATTCTTGTAACAAAAAAATTATCTGACTAGTATCATAAAAGTCATTAAACAATTTTTATAACAAAACAGTTATTTAATATTATTTAAGTATTATTCTTTTCATTTCAATTTATGTGATAACATTTAGATTTCGGGAGTCAAATAAGTTGTTTTTTCATATACTTTTAAATATTTTTGGTTATTTATTATTGTGACTTATAGTACATTTTACATAGTTTTCAAATATGTCAATTTTATTTCAAAAAATTTAGAGATTTTATGTTCAAACACACAATCAAAATTGAGAAACTTAAATCTCAAAAAGTGAAAAGCGTCACATAAATTGAACAGAAAAATACATAGAGTCATCAAAAGAAAAATTAAAACTAAGAAGTATTATGTATAATATTTGGGTAAAATTAAATGACTATTTTTGTTATAATAATTTTATGATACTTTAAACTTTCTGGTCTATTCATATTTAAGCAAAGAAATATATATTATGGATTACAAAAATCACAAATGTGTCGTGGTGTAGTTGGTTATCACGTCTATCTAATTTATTGAAGGTCTCTTCGGTTTGAGTCCGGGCGACGCCATTCAATTATTTTTTATTCTCGCAGAACGTGATTCACAACGTTTAACGTTTTTATCTACTAAATTAAGAGTTCTTTAAAATTTTATCCCAATCAAATGTGGGATGCATCTTTTTCTTTGCTTTGACCGCGACTTTATTTGGTCTTCCTCTTTCCTTCGGCCCATGTTTCAAAGCTAGCAAAAAGTTCGAGCCTTCGGGATCTCTCTTGAACGGCGGTCGGTCAGTCCTTTTCTTCTGTTGATGCGGAGACTGATGCTCTAACTATTAATAAAATTTCTTAACAGGAACAAGAATTGTGTACCTGTTAACAGTAGCGGAAACTTCAAAAAATCTTTATTGAAGAAAGCTCCAAGCCATACTTTGTTTCACTAGGAAGCAAAGTCAAATCTATCCACAAACTAAATGCCCTAATTACGCTTGAATCTCTTTTTGTGTTGTGGGAATATTTTCTGAAGAAGAACCTCTCCCGTTCTGCTCTCTTTTCAACTCTTTATACAGAGCACGATTAGAAAAAATATAACTCCCCCACTCCCCAGTTTCTTTCAGAAGAAGTTGAGAGAGGTTATAACTCCCCCCCTTTTTTTTTACCATATGCAGTAACTTATCTTCTCCTAACTGGGCCGGGTCAGCCCACATGGAGCGACCCACACCCCGTAATCCAACAGCTCCCACTTCGCTCATGATGGACTAGACCCAAAATCATATCATATTAATAACACATGTAATTCATATAAGCAAATAGTTCGTGCGACATGCGAGCATCAAGAGCTATAAATTTTTAAACCTATTAAGGTTGTACCACAGCTCCAAGTAGAAATCAAATCACTTACAAAAGGGATTCACTACTAACAGGAGGATCTTATTACTCGCAATACCCCAGACATCCTTCACTACTCCAGTATCTCACTTATCTGATCCCTCTTCCTCTAAAGGAGTGAACTCGAGTTCATGTTTAACTTTATATCCATAATTACACTTGACACCCTTATGGTAAGTGATATAGCCGGCATGTGTATACAAGTTAAATTATTAAATTTTAATTGTCTTTCCTTTCTACTCGAATCCATCAGTTTCAGATCAACTGCTTTCCTAGACACACACTACATTGCCGAGTCACTCACGACTATTAATGACATGCTAAAGTAACAACACCGATTGAAACTTCAATAAACAGTCAAAGGTCGAAGGGTATTCCAATGAAAAGTTAATACAACTTTTCGGGTTCTCACACAATGAAGAAGCAGGGATTTAATCTTCCATTAGCCCATTGATCGCTTAACACACGTGGTATGAAACACGTGCTACGGTGTTCTCACCTTATATTGGTGTGTGTCTCTCATTCATTTTATTTATTCAACATCATAAAAATCTTGATCTAGACACCTCTAGATGTCTAATTCGAGTTTCTCTATTCAATAATCTTCAAATTCTTCTTCTTAGAGAGACTCACATCTGGCTTATAAAACAAGTCATACATAGTGGTGGAACTCATCTCTTCACGTTCTTAGACGTAAGAGGCGATTGCTCGTGTGAGAGAGCCAATCTCGCAACTTATTTGACACACTTTATTATTAAAATACATCATCATATGCATATGAGATACGAACATAAATTATAAGAGTCAAATATTGATGAGAAAATTATAACAAATAATTCATTTTACAATACAAAATATTATCATATCCTACGCAAACCTAGAGCCATAACATGTTTCTCAAACAAGTCTTTAGATATTTTCTTTATAAAAGAATCAGCTATCATTTCTCGCTTAGGAATGTATTGTAAATTTATTTTTCCATTTGCTATTATGTCTCTTATAAAGTTATACTTGATGTCAATGTGTTTGGTCTTGCTGTGATACTTAGGATCCTTCGTGTATGCTATAGCCGCTTGACTGTCACAATATAAATTCACGGGACCCTGAGAATTCTTCGCAATATTTAAATGCTCAAAGAATCTCTTTAACCAAATAGCTTCTTGTATTGCATATACACAAGCCACAAATTCAGCTTCCATAGTTAAAAGGGCTTGTGCAAGTTTGTTTCTTAATTTTCCACGAAATAGCACCACCACTAAGTAAGAAAGCATAGAAGGAGGTCGATTTTCTATCATACCGGTCTCTAGCACAATCAACATCTACATAACTTCTTATGAGTAAATCAGATCCACTATAGTATAGTGAATAATCTGTAGTTCCTTTCAAGTATCTGAAAATCCTCTTAACTGCTTTCCAATGATCTCTTCCGAAATTAGATTGACACTTGTTAACCAGACCAACGACATAACAAATGTCCGAGCGAGTGCACATCATAGCGTACATCAAACTCCCGAAAGCACTAGAATATGGAACTCGAGACATGTATTCCTTTGCTTTTACGGTCTTTGAACACATTTCAAGGCTTAAAGTTTCACTTGCTATTGGAGTATCCATGGGTTTACAACTATTAATAAGAAAGTGCTCCAAAATTTTATTTATGTATGTTTCTTGAGATAGACTCAAAAACTTCTTGGAACGATCTCTTTGGATCTTAACACCCAATATATAATCTGCTTCACCCATGTCTTTCATGTCAAATGACTTTGAAAGTCATGACTTGTCAGTTTTCAGATACTCCACGTTATTTTCGGCTAATAAAATATCATCCACGTAAAGAGAAAGAATTGCAAACATTCTATTAGACTTTTTCACATAGATGCAATGGTCTTCATCGATCATGATAAAATCACCTCCTTGGGAAATCTCAGGTACCACTGCCTTGAAGACTGCTTCAGTCCATAAATTGATCTTTTTAATTTACAGACTTTCTTTTCTTGGCCTTTAACAACATAATCTATAGGTTATTCCATGTAAATTTTCTTGTTTAATTCTCCATTGAGAAAAAGTGGTCTTCACATCCATTTGGTGTAATTCTAGATTCAAATGTGCAACAATAGCCAAAAGTAATCGAATAGAGGTAAACTTCACAATTGGTGAAAAAGTTTCCTCAAAATCTATTCCAGCTTCTTCAGTAAAATCTTTTGCGATCAATCGCGCCTTGTGTCTTTCTATTGATCCATCCGATTTGCGTTTAACTTTGAGAATCCATTTGTTCCCAATAGCTCTACGCCTAGGTGGAAGATCAACTAGATCCCAAACTTTGTTGATATTCACGGACTCTAATTTTTCTTTCATCCACTCATCTTTTCTAGGACTCGTTAAAGCCCCAGTCACAGAATTAGGCTCATCCAATTCTGTGGGAGATACCAAGGAAACATAATCCTCAATCTCATAAGATCGTTTAGGTACACCTTTTTTGGTACTCTTACGTAATTGAAGTTCAAATTCCTCCATAGGTTTTTAGGATTCAAAACTCCCACGTGGATTAGGAATTAATTCTTGATTGATTGAATTATCAAGCAAGTTTGAAGACACTATCTGATAATCTGAATTCAACATTTCATAAAGAGACTCACTTTCCTTTATTTCACCCTTTTTGGGAAAATTATTTTCTAGAAATTTGATATCTCGTGACTCAATTTCAGTAGTACTTCTATCCTCCAATTTACCAATGAACACATACCCTTTGGAGTGTTCTGAATATCTTATAAAGATACATTTCTTTCCTTTTGGACTCAATTTACTGAACTCACCAAAACGATCTTTTACATATGCAGCACAACCCCAAGGTCGTAGATCATTAAGGTTTTGTTAATGACTAGTCCAGAGTTCATAAGGAGTGGAAGATACTGATTTAGAAGGCACTTTATTCAATATGTAGACTGCAGCCAATAATGCATCTCCCCAAAAGAATATAGGTAAATTTGCCTGTGCCATCATGGATCTTGTCATGTCCAATAGTGTCCTATTCCTTTTTTCAACTACACCATTCTGTTGAGGTGTATAAGGAATTGTTAACTGGCTGGCAATGCCTTTTTCAGTACACAATTCTTCAAACTGTTTTGACAAATAGTCACAGCCTTTGTCAATCGTTAAAGTCTTGATACTTTTATTTAATTGATTCTCAAGTTCATTCATATATCTTTTAAAGCACTCAAATGCTTCAGAATTATGAGAAATCAAATAGACATAACCAAAGCGCGTGAAATCGTCAATAAATATAATAAATTATGTAGCACCAGACCTTGCCCTCATATTCATTGGACCATAGATATCAGAATGGATTAACTCCAGTGGGAACTAAGCTCTTTTAGCCTTTCCAAATGATTTACGTGTAATCTTTCCAGCAAGACAGTTTTCACATGTTGGCATATCAATTTTGGAGAAAGAATGTAAATATCCTTCCTTTGCTAACCTATTCATTCGGTCTTGCCCTATATGACCCAATCTTGCATGTCATGTAATAACATCTATATCATAGTTACTAGAATAACATATCATTACACATCGGCCAACATAATAGTCATAAGTTGAAGGATTTCAATCTAAAATGATAAAATGATCATAACGATGTCCAAAATCATAAAAAAATTGTCTAGAGTAATTCTAACACCTTTGTGACTAAAAATTAAATTAAAACCAACATCTAAAAAAACATACACAGATACTAAATTTTATCGAATCTCTGGAGCATATAGAACATCTTGCAACATCAAAGATTGGCCACAACGCAAGACCACTTTGCAAGTGACTATTCCTTTGACTTTAATTCTTGCATTATTTCCTACATATATCCATCTTGATCCAGGTGAGACTCGATGAAACTGCACAAACGCTTCTCGATCATGACTCACATGATCGGTGGCTCCTGAGTCTATAATCCATGTAGGATAAGATTTAGTTAGTAAAGCAGTGCTAGAAACATATGTAGCACTCAAAGATGCATTTAGAAATGCTACCTTTTTTGGCTTAGTACAATCATGAGCAAAATGCCCTGGAACATGGCAGTTGTAGCGCTTCATCTTACTCTTGTCTTTCTTCTTGAAAAATCATTTTTCCTTCTTGGAATTTGGCTTGTTCTTTTTCTTAGAGGGTCCTTCTCTGGTCTCCTTATCCTTCACGTT